CTTACCACTAGTGACCAGTGGATACCTCAGTCTCTCTTCCTACCAGGAACTTCACAGCCAGCTGCCACAGTGCAGACATGGACGCATGTGTGGACAGAAGTTGGGCTGCCACCAGAAGCGAGAAGGTTTATGGGTAAAAAGGGAGCATCCAGTGCCCCCTCCCTCAAAAAGGAAGCTTTGGTGATATGTGGACTGCTCCTCCTCTAGACCTCCCCTCATCAAAAAGAAAAAGGGAAAAGAGTAGACTCAGCTTGTTAAAATGATAATAATACGGACTAACAATGAACATGAGAGGCCTTTGTAACTGGCCTCATACTGGCCATTGATAAACTGAATTTTCCCATCTCAAATCAGCGTCTTCCCTTGGTCTCAGCCGTTTTCCTCCTTTTTCTTCCTCTTCTTTTTAGTGTGTGTGTGCGTGTGTGTGTGTGTGTGTGTGTGTATGTGTGTGTATACATATATACATATATACATATATACATATATACATATATACATATATATGACAATATCTCCTATATTCTAGTCTAGGCTCAACCTGGCTGGGTAAGTAAAGATGACCTTGAAGTCTTGATCCTCATGTTTCCACCTTCCCAGTGCTAGAGTTTCAAGTGTGAGCTACGAAGTCCTCATTCAAATTGTTTTGTTGTTGTTGTCATTGTTGTTGTTGTTGTTGATGTTGATGATGTAATCCAGAGTTTGTCTGTGTAACCCTAGTTGTCCTGGAACTTGATCTCTACTGTTCTACAGGACAGGCTGGCCTTGAACTCATAGAGAGCCACCTGTCATTGTCTCCCAAGTTCTGAGATTAAAGGTATATGCCATCACTGCCCAGTTCAAATGGGTTTCTAATACAGAGTGGAAACCCAGTGCTCTTGGTACACTGCCCTGAGTATTTCTGCAGTCTTGTTTGTGAGGCCCACTCACGGCAGAACTCAGGTTTGTCCTAAGTGCTGATGTAAGGCCGGTGTGCGGAATGCCGGGCACAATCACAGAAGGCTTCAGGATGAAATGAGATTTGTGCCACTTTGTGACAGCAGGGATCCATCCAGAGGCAGACAGCTGCTGCCCCATGGACTAAGATGACATGTGCAAAACCCAGAGACAACAGCCCCAAAAGATACAACCCTGGAGAGGCTTCAAAGACATAACCTGAGCTAAGGCCCTGGGGTTTGGAGTCTTTCAGGTAGAAAAGCCAATAAGTCAGAGGGAGATGAGTTAGGAAGGACTGAGTCACCACGATGTCCTTCAGCTGACAGGAAGCAAGGTCTCACTGAGTTGCTGGGAGTCTCCTGCTCATGCTCCAGCCAAGCTCTGGCCCACCCACTCCAGCCATCCCTGGGCCCTTTCCTGCTCTCCTGGATCCTTTCCTGCTCTCCTGGATCCTTTCCTGCTCTCCTGGGCCCTTTCCTGCTCTCCTGGGTCCTTTCCTGTTCTCCTGGGCCCTTTCCTGCTCTCCTGGGCTCTTTCCTGCTCTCCTGGGTCCCACATATGTCCCAGGCCAGGAATCACCTTTGCTTCTCTGAACCTTGGCTTCCTAGTCTAAGTAAGGAAGTTAAGACTTGGACTGTGCCGCTTATGTATGTTATAGTTGTGCTGGTTGGTGGTTTGTGGGAATCCTGTTAGAGAGAGTGGGGGTTATTTCTGACTCTTGCCTGCTTTTCAGCCCCTTGTCCTCCTACTGAGCCATAATATGAGGGGAGGTGCCTCGTCTTATTGCAACTTGATATGCCATGTTTGCTTGATATCCCTGGGTGGCCTGCCCTTTTCTGAAGGGAGATGGAGTGGAAGTTGCTGGGGAAGGAGGATGCAGGAAGTGGAAGAGGTGGGAGGAAGATGGAGGAAAGGGAAACCGTGGTCTGGACATAATATGAGAGAATAGATTAATAAAAAAAAAAGAAAGAAAGAAAGACTTGGTCTGATGATAGAGGTCTTTAATTCTAGATACTCAGGATTATCAAAAATTCCAAGTTCTATCTGGGCTACAAAGCAATTTCAAGGCCAGCCTCAGCTACTTAACAAGACTCTGTCTCATAATAATAGATGATAGATAGATAGATAGATAGATAGATAGATAGATAGATAGATAGATAGATAAAAGGAAAGGAGGGAAGGAGGAAGGGAGGGGGGAGGAGGGCTTGATGACAGATTTACCTTCCAGGACTGTTAAAAGATGGCACAGACCCTGTACAGAGCTGCCACAGTCCAGCTCAGAAGTCCACACCTTCTTAACAAAAGCCATCTCTCGACTGCCTCCTCCTGATCCAAGACACCTCTGGCTGCCTTCAAGGGAACAAGAATGACCTCCCCTCTACCCCAAGTGGCCTGGAGAGACCTTACCTTAAACACAATGACAGACATAGCCAGGTTTTAAAATTTGTGTGGAACTGAGTCTTGATCAAGACAGGGATTAAGGAAACCCTGTAGGAATCATACACACCACTTGTGCATATTCACTAGGGTTGGGTTCGTCTTCCCCCCAGCACCTAACCCTCCCATGTGTATTGCTTCCCCCATATTATGATGACCTGGGAAGAGAAAAGATGCTACTGGAAAGCCAGAGAGCACCTGTGTTCTTCCCTCCCCTGAGTCAGGACAAGTCGACCCATCTGGGAGTAGAACCATTCTGTATTGGGGAAAATGGGGGGAGGAGGGTGAAAGAGGAGCATAAAGTAAGGAAGGAGAGGATTGGAGGAAGGAGGAAAATAAAAAAGGGAGGAGGATGGAAACAAAGTCCTTGGCCTTCTCTTTAACAGCCTCACTTCAAGCTTTATCCCAGCATTCAGGAAGCAGAGGCAGGTGGGTCTCTGTGAGCTTGTGACCAGCCTAGTCTACGTATTGAGTTACAGATCAGATACGGTCTAACCAAAAGAAGAAGAAGAATTTCATTTCAAAACCCTGGACTGCATTACTCACTTGTCAGTGTTGAGCAATATCTCTAGGGGCCCAGAGGAATACTCAAGGAACATCCTCCAACCAGGGGTGACCTAATCAGGATGACCAATGGCTTTGAAGTGGTTGAGCCAGGTTAGCTCAGTCACTCACTCACACGGGACCAGAGGAACTAGAGAAAGAATCCAGGCCCTCAGTCACAGCACTCGTCTCACTCAGCTACTCCCTTCCCCTCAGGATCAAGTAGCATCTGCCCTGCAAGACTTGCTGATAGATGGGAGTGCCTGGAAGGGCTGAGGAGGGCACATCTTCAGCAGGAAGCGTGGGGAAGGCGGATCCTCCCTGTGAGCCCCCAAACACCCTCTTCAGAATCTCCCCCAGTGTCAAGGGTGTGAGAATTCAGGGCATGCTGAAGCCAGCGATGCTAGGAACAGGAGCATAGCACAGGACTGAGATTCCTCTGAAGGAGGGAAATTTGCCTAACCATAAGCAAAAGCAACAGAGAGTTAGCCAACTAGAGGATCAAGAGAGTAGGGAACAGGCGAGGCATATGGGGGACACACCTTTAATTCTAGCACTTGGGAAGCAGAGGCAGGCAGATCTCTATCAGTTCAAGCCAGCCTGGTCTACAGAGAAAGTTCCAGGACAGCCAGGGCTACATGGAAAAACACTGCCTGGGAAAACCAGAGCGAGAGAGCGAGAGAGCAAGAGAGGGAGTGTGTGCAAGAGAGGGAGAGAGAGAGAGAGAGAGAGAGAGAGAGAGAGAGAG